TTTATGTGACTTACAGGTTACAGCCTACCATTAAGAGAAGCTAAGGCAAGAACCTGGAGGCAGGAACTGAAGCAGAGAGAACAGAGAAACTTGGCTTACCTGCTTGCTTTCCATGGCTTGCTCAGCCTGCTTTCTTATACAACCTAGGACCACCTGCCTAGGGGTGGCACCGCCCACAGTAGGCTGGGCCCTCCCACATCAGTCATTAAATGCCCACAGACTCATCCATAAGGGCAATCTGAAGGAGGCAACTTCTCAGTTGACAATCCCTCTTCCCAGATGACTTCAGCTTATGTCAAATTGACAAAAACAAACAAATAAGCAACAATAACAAAAAACAACCAACATACATATATTCCATTACCTTCTCTTAATTCTTCTGGCCCTCTCTATAGTCTTCCCCCTCATTTCTACGTTTTACATATATTGGGTAGGTTTCGGGAAGTACAATGTGACCAGAAATGACAGTCTTGACTCACCCCCAGCTGGACTAGAATAGAAGGATTTCAGGTGGTTAGAGAAAAGTCAGCATTCCTCAGGAACTTGTGAAACAGGTCCCCATATCCCTTGTCTCTGGCAAAAAGGGGCATATAGTTCCCCATTGACACACCTGTGATGGCTATCAGCCTATCAAAGTCTGTGCTAGCCTACAGCTCCTATAACTCCTACTCACAAGTACCTGTCATGCACATCCACGTTAGCATCTCACCTCTGCCTCTACCCTGAACCACCGCTGAGTCAGCCCCCTCCTCCGCCGCCCCTCTGGGTTATCCTCCCTTCTCTTGCAGACAGCCCTGGCATGTCTAGTCTGCTGCGTTCTCTCTTCCAGATGCGTCTGGATATTTTCCACTCTTATCCACAATAAAAATGTTTTTCCCTAGTCATGGAGTAGCCATTTTGGTGGTTTCTTTACTGACCCCCCCAATACAATACCTAGGAACAACTACGTGAACATTTAAATTTAAATGTATATTCTGCTTGTGAAAGAAAATGCTGTATTTGTCTTTATGAATCTGGATTATTTCTCTTCTATATCCCCGAATAAGTATCTGTAAAGTAGGATGTTGAGTCCTTTGGGCATAAGCCAAGGGTGTTACAGCTGGGCATATGGTAGATTTATTTTTAGCTTTTGAGAATCTCCACACTGATTTCCAGAGTGGCTTGCACAGGTTTGCAATCTCACCAACAGTGAGTCAGAGTTCTCCTTTCTCTACAGTCTTCCCTATATTTGATGTTGTTTTGTTGATCTTAGCCATTCTTACTGGGATAAGATCACATTTCAAAGTTACTTTGATTTGCATTTCTCTGATTGCTAAGGATGGATGGACATTTTTGGAGATATTTCTTGGCCATTTTTATTTCTTCCTTTGAGACTTCTGTTCAGATCCATAGTCTACTTTTTAATTGGGTTGTCTGTTTTCTTAATTCTTTGTTTTCTGAGTTGTTCGTATATTTTGGGTATTAAACCTCTGTCAGATGGATAGCTGACAGATGGCAAAGGTTTGCTGCTATTTTCTGGGTTTACTCTTTACTTGATTGTTTCCTTAGCTATGCAAGTGCTTTATTTTTATTTTTTTTATTTTTCTGAAGTCCCACTTGTCAACACCTATATCATGTAGGGTATTGTCTATCTGTATCTATATCATGTAGGGTACTGTCTATCTGTATCTATATCATGTAGGGTACTGTCTATCTGTATCTATATCATGTAGGGTACTGTCTATCTGTATCTATATCATGTAGGGTACTGTCTATCTGTATCTATATCATGTAGGGTACTGTCTATCTGTATCTATATCATGTAGGGTACTGTCTATCTGTATCTATATCATGTAGGGTTGTATCTATATCATGTAGGGTACTGTCTATCTGTATCTATATCATGTAGGGTACTATTTGTGTTTTCCTCTAACACTTCAGGTTTCACACTGAGGTCTTTGATTCATGTGTAGTTAGTTATTGTGTAAGGTGATAGATACAGTCTAACTTCATTTTTAATATTAACAGTCAAATATCATATTTTCTTCATTATACTCTGTTCATCTGTTGATAGACCTTGAAGTTAGTTTCATTATCTTGGTTATATTAAGCAGTGCCTCAATAACCATGGGTGTGCAGAACCTCTGTGGTATGGTGACTTAGAATCTTTCATGGGTGTACCTAGGAGTGGTATAGATTACCAATCATAATATCATGGTCTGATGATAGTTCTAACTTTAGTATGTGAGGCACCTCCATACTGATTTCTATGGTGACGACACCGAGTTTACATTCTCACCAGTGGTGCATGAGGGCTCCTTTCTTTCCACACCCTTACTAGCATTTGTTGTGTTTGTTTTCTTCTCCTTTGGCTTTTTTTTAGACACAGTTTCTTTGTGTAACGTCCCTACCTTTCCTGGTCCTCTGTAGACAAAGCTGGCCTTGAACTCACAGAGATCAGCCTGCCAAGTGCTGGGATTGAAGGCATGTGCTACCACACCCGGTATGGTTGATTTTCTTGATCGTCATTTTGACTCTGGTGAAATATAATCTCAGTGCAGTTTTAATTTGTATTTCTTTGATAACTAAGGACACTGAGCACTTTTGTAATTTTATTTCTTCCTTTGAGAAATGTCTCAATCCATTATCCTATTATTAATAGAATTCTTTTCTTTTTAAAATGTGTGTGTGTGTTGGGGGGGGGTTGGTGTGGTGTGGTATGAAGACCCAAGTTCAGTTCCCAGGACCCACATCAAGCAGCCCACAACTGCCTGTAATTCAGTTAACATCAGTGGATTTGACACTCTTTGTCTGACCATCTGGGATACCAGAACACAGCCAGTATACACTTACATAGACAAACACATGCATTAAAAAGTAAATAAAAATTAGTGTGTGTGTATGTAATGCACACAAGTGTGTGAGTATGGACATGAACTTGTGACAGCATATGTGCAGATTGGAGCCCACACAACCTTGGTAGTTGGTGCTTTCTTTCCACTATGGGATCAGGACTGAACTCAGGTTTGGTGACAAGAGTCTTTTCCCATTGAGTCATTATGCTAACCCTGAAGGTTTTTTTTTTAAAATTCTTGTTATAGATTCTGGATATTAATGTCTGCCATGTGTATAATTGAAAAAAATTTCCATCTTATAGGTCATCTCTTTCCTTTGCTTTTTTTTTTTCTTAAAAAGCCATGTAGAAGCTTTTGGGGTATGTGTGTGGTACATGCATGTGTCTGTGCCCATGTGTGTGAACATGCCTGTGTGCTAGAGGTAGATGTTGAATGTCTTCCCAGCTGCTCCTCATCCTATATTTGGAGATTAGTCTCTCTGAGCCTGGAGTTCCCCAGCTCAGCCTCTCCACCCCTCCAACCTTAGGATTACAGCACATGCCACCATATTTAGCTTTTTACATGGGAGCCAGGGATCCAAATTTAGTTCCTTGTAATTGTGTGGTAAGCAGCTTATGGACATTGCTCCAGACCCTACTGTCATTATTTTATATGTGGATGTCCAGGAACCTCAGCACCATATGTTGAAGAGGCTGTCATTTTATCCCAGTATGTTTTTGACATCTCTGTTAAAGATTTGGTAGTGTAGGTGTGTGGTTTTCATCCGGGGTCCTCAGTGCTATTCCACTGATCTGCTATTCCACTGATCTACCTGTCTGGGTTTGTGCCAGTATCAGGGTTTTTGTTACTATGTCTATGCTTTTTTGAGACAGGATATCACTATGTAGCTCAGGATGGCCCCATACTTAATATCTTGTGCAGCTGAATTTAAATTTGAGACCCCAAATATCACTTTTAAGGGTCTTGCAACAGAATGATGAAACATTGACACAATAAATTATTGTATATGCTGACTAGTTGCCACAAATCAATGCAATTACATGTAGTATAAATGGCTAATTCTCTTATTAAAGTTACAATCTAGAAGTTACAATTCTGGAAAAGATTAACCTGACCAGTTGATATATTTGAGAACACTGAACTTGAACAGTAGATAGTTTGTAGCTAGTAAGGGGACCTATGTAGAATTTAGAGACATACAATTCAATAAAAAGGAAGTTTCTAATAAAAGAAGAAACGTACAATGTTTGTGTGCTCTTTGAAAAGTTTCAACATTCCACTGGTACTTTCTAAACGCACAGAAGAGATCAACATCTAACAGGAGGTTACGAAAAATAGCACATCACTCTCTAACACAGACAAATGGTCAAAGGTTATATAGACTTCAGATAGCAAAAGTGAGTCGGCCGAGGCTTGACCTTTGACTAACCTGTAAAGAAGACAATAGTGCAATCATAACAACCAACACTTACCGGATGGTTGCTGTGTGACACTGTGTCAACTGGACAGCTCTATCAGATCAGCACTGAGTAAAATGGGAAAGCTAGGAGATAACTCTAGAAGTTGCCTCCAGGTGTTCACAGCCACTGGGTTAAAGTTCCCACCTACGCTCTTTTACAGATACACCCATGCTTTTAAGGGAGATTTTTAAATATAGTTTAGCATTGTACTTTCTTTCAGGAAACGGTCACTCATATGAAAAGATGTATGTAGGAGCAATTTCCAAATTATTACGCGGTGGAGCCAATAAGCCAAAGGTTATCAAAGGTGCCCTCAAGCCTCTCTTGGCCTCAGTCTCTCTAAACTGAAAGGCTTAGTCTAGTCTCTTGCTAGGCATAATTTCTGCTCCCAGATCTCTACAGATTGCTGCCAACGCTGCTTTAAAGGGTACATCTTCCTTTTAGACCCGAGGGAGGGGTGAGAAGGTAGGGGTGGGAGAGAGGCAGACCACGTGACTTCCTTCCTTCCCAGGGCGCCTGCGTGGCCGGCCTCCTAGCAACCTGTGCATCCCGCCTAACGACACCCGCGCACCGCGGTTGGCTGTCGCAGCGGCTGTGCACCTCCCGCGGGCGGTGCTGCCGGAAGCCCCTCCCGTGGCCGCGGCTCGGTGGCTGGCTGGCGGCGGTTGTCACTCTGGGGCGTTTTACCCGGCCGGCGCTCAGCTGGGGCGGAGGAAGAGGCGGCCTGGGCCTGCCGAGCCGTTGCAGTCTTCGCGGCTGCTATGCCCAGGGTGCGCGACGCCCTCAGCAGCTCCGTGCAGCGCTAGAGGCGGCCGAGCGCTCGCCGACGCCGCCCGGATCCCCGGTGCCACCGCCGCTTGTCCGCTCCCGCAGCTCCCGCCGCTCCTCCGGCGTCGCCTGCGAGACCAGGCGGAGGCAAGATGAAGATGACGGTAGATTTCGAGGAGTGTCTGAAGGACTCTCCCCGCTTCAGGTAAACCCGCCGTGTCGCCCGGTGCCTCCTGGAGCCGCCTCTCCCGGCGCCGGGGCGTGAGAGCCGGTCTTGGGGAGCGGCCGCTGACCCTGGGATCACTTGTCAACCCCGGGAGCATTCGCTGGCCCCGGCAGTACCCGCTGGCTGCGGGAGCACGACTGACCCGGGAACCCTCGCCAGACCCCGGCAGCACCCACCGACCCCGGGTGCATCGTCGGCTCCCGGGTGCACCGCCGACCCCGGGAACCCCAGCCAGCTCCGGGAGCACCGCGGGCGCTCAGTCCGCGCCTTCCGACGGGGCGGGCCGCAGCCTTTCGCCCGCAATCCGAGGCGTGGCCGAGAGGGGACGTTGCCTCTTCAGCCCTGGCTCGCCGCCGCCTCTCCCAGAGCCCCGGCACCGCCGCATCGCGAAAGTCGCGTCCCTCTCAGGCGCTCTTCCTTTCCCCTTCCTTCCGCTGCGCGTCGGCGCCCACCTCCCCACCCCCTCTGCGCGCCAGCTTTCTGGGCATCCTTGCGGGTCACTTAGTTCCTCTTCCCGCTTCTCCGCGGCTCTCGGCCGGGGAGGAGGGGGCAGGGACCCCGGGGAAGCGTCGGCGGCGTATTCGACCGAGTCGGGGCGGGGTGGGGGGCTTTGAACCACCTAGGCTATCCACCTTTGACCGCCACGGTCTGCTCTGCTTTCCGTCGAAGCTTTTGGAAGAGGTGCAGGACTGAGGGTTAGCCAAGGCAGCATTTCTGCTTTGAGAACGGAAGTAGGAGGGCCCCGAAGATTGCATTTGTGTTCCTCTTCCCGCGGGCTGGAGGGGCCCTGGATCACAGTCGGATGCTCCCAGTGGATCTGTCACAAAACTGATGTGGTGGCATTTGGATTCACATGGGCTGGCCTGCCTTCCACGTGAGAGGCAGCAGTTACTGAGGGGGTCCAGAATCCGTGCTTTTCTCTTTTCGAGCATTATAGGAAACTCAGGGTTTGGAGAATGGAGCTTTTCTAGGCTGTGTTTTGCAGTGTACTGGATAGGACTGGCCTTAGGCCTAAATAAGACCTTAAAATTTCTGTTACAGAGTGACATTTTTTTGAAAGCTTCCTCTGATCATTGTGTGTGTGTGTGTGTGTGTGTGTGTGTGTGCGTGCGTGCGCGCGCCCCACCGAGCTCCCTGCCAAGCGTGCATTGTAAATTCTTGCACCCTCCGGGAACGAACTGTTCTCGGCCTTCTGACTGTTAATTTGGCATCCCATTCTCCTCTCCAAGAAGGGAAGGAGACATGTAGAATGAGGGAACTTAGAGGAAATTTAGGGACACGTTGTCTTTGCTCTTTTCTAGGTGTAAGTTTTATTTGGAGTTAGTGCTTGCAAAAAAACACAGTCCTGCACTTGATTTCGTTAATGTTGTTGCCATTAGATTTTGACAGTTTTATGTTCTGTGTGAATTGAAGGACTCTGGTGACCCAAATAGGTTGTTTAGGGCAGCCTTAGAGGTTAGCTTTCCTGACTGGGCAGCAAATGAAGTAATTTTAAAATAATACCTTGGAAAGTTTTGCTTATTTTGAACTTTTTGCTTAGGTGACTCAGCTGTTTGCGTGTGTGTGTGTGTGCGCGCGCGTGCGTGCGTGCGTGAAGGCCAGAGATGATAGTCATTGGGTGTCTCCCTCAGTTGCTTCCCACCTTGTCTTCTGAGAGTGTCTCTCACTGAACCTCAGGCTTGCTGACTTGGCTAGACTGACTGGACAGCAGTTCCTAGGGATCCTCCCATTTCTGTCTCCCCAGAGCTGGGATTATAGGTATAGTGATGCACCCAGGTTTTTTTTAAACATATGTTTTGGGGAGTCAAACTCAGTTCCTTAGTCTTGTGTGGCTAGCACTTAACCCACTGAGCTGTCTCTCCAGCCATCAGCTGTTTATCTCCACAGGAAGTAACCACAGCAATTTTCTTTTTAGAGAATGTAGCTTTGTGCTTCCCTGGTTTCAGATAAATTTGATTTGGCAAAAAAAAAAAAAAAAAAAAAAAAAGCCAAGTCGAGGGAACTGCTTTGGGTAGGCTTCTTTCTAATCATTGATGTTGGTTACATGTCACGTGACACTTTCTCCTTTAAAGTAGCCATTGAATATAAAAGATGAATTAGAGATACCAGCTTGTTATGGTGTGATATGGGGAGCTTTTTTGTTCAACTTGATTGAATAGTTGCCCTGTTTTATGTAGATAGAGATTTCTAGGATTTCTAGCCTCTGGCATTCCAATTATTGTCAGCTGCAAACTGGGAACAGATACCAAGGTTCCAAGAACTCCAGCATCTTGTATTCATTTTGGGGCCTAGATTAGATTTACAACAGAGAACAATGCCAAGAAGATTAAATTGTAGTTTTTCTGTGACTCCAGCACTGTGTAAATTTGTGTTGTATCTGAACAGGATCTTTCATTAGTATTAGTTCACATCCTGTATGTATTCGATAAAGTTGATTAAAGAGTATATGTGAATTTGGGATGCTATATTGGAACTTACCAAAATAGAGAATGTGAACTGTGTGACTGATGCCTGTGTGCCCATCTACTTAAGAAGCTGAGACAGGAGGATTGTGAATTGTAGACTAGTCTGGATATCATAGCAAAAGCCCTGTCACCTGGGCTGAGGAGACAGTTCTGTGGGTAAAGTACTGACTGTGTGATCCTGGGCTGAGGAAGCAGTTCACTGACTGTGTGATTGATCATCGAGGACTGTAGTGTGGATCCCCAGCACAATTGTAAATTCTGGGCTGATGATCTCAGCGTTTTGGAAGCAGAGATAGATCCTCTGGAACAAGGTGGCTAGCTAGACAGTGGAATCAGAGAGCACTGGGATCAAGTGAGAGACACTACCTGAATATATCAGATGGAGAATGATGGAGGAACATCAACCTCTGGCCTTTATGTGTACATACACACATGTGCTTGTGTGCTTGGACACAACACCAACTTAGATAAATGTGCATACACACATACACACCACTCTCATAGACATGCAAACAAAACAAAACTCTGTTATTCACTATTACCAAGGAAAACAGGAGAAATTGTGAGGGCTGGTTTCTGACTTTAATTCCTTAAAAACATTTCCCCCATTACTCACATGGGGGCTGGAGAGACAGCCCAACTGTTAAGAGCACTGACTGCTCTCCCGTGGACCTGGGTTCTATTCCTGTCACCTACATGTTGGTTTAGAACCGTCTGTAATCCAGTTCCAGGGATCCAGTGCCCTATTCTGGGCATGAGGCATACATGCAGGTAAAACACCCAGAAGTTGTGGAACCTCACATTAAATTTCATACTTTCAGTGTTGAAGATATTTTATGTACTTATCTGCCAGCAACAACAAAAACTTATATTCCAAAATGTGAATTCTAACTATATAGACGTTCATTGAATTTTGTAGACTTTGGGTCCTGCTAATTTTGGCATGTGATGCTTTTATTTACTTGTAAGTTTTTAAATAATAAAGTTTATAAAATAAAATGCTTTCACAAAATGAATCATTATTATTATTATTTTGGCTTTTTGAGACAGCATTTCTCTGTGTAACAGTCCTGGCTGTCCTGGAACTTACTCTGTAGCCTCGAACTCACAGAGATCCGCCTGCCTCTGTTTCCCCAGTGCTGTGATCAAAGGTGCACACTGCCACCACTAGGCTCACAAAATGGATCTTATGGCATTTATTTTTTTAAAACTTTTTTTTTAAAGATTTATTTGTTCTGGCTATAGGCCAGAAGAGGGCACCAGATCACATTACAGATGGTTGTGAGCTACCATGTGGTTGCTGGGAATTGAACTCAGGACCTCTGGAAGAACAGTGTGCTCTTAACCACTGAGCCATCTCTCCAGCCCATCTTATAGCATTTGCGTGTAACTGCCTTGGATGCTATACACTTAATGCAAAAGTCAGATGTTGCTGAAGAAAAGGTTCCCCACTGCTCAAGGTTAAAACCTTTGTTTTCCTGTTAAGTTGCTGAGAAAGTAGGAGGGTTAGGCTGAAGTGTTGTGACTTTTGTCGGTGCTTTCTCTTGCATTCCAGTGCTGGGTATTTTGATTTTTGCTAGTAGATTGGAGGGCACATTTCATTGTATAATTTTGGGTTCTATTTTTAGCTTTTAAAATACCAGTGTAAAAGCTTAAAGGTCAAGATCTTGTTACAAAAATCTGCAAGAATGTAAATGTATCTCTGTGTAACTTTTTCTATGAGGGAGTTTTTGGGAGGCAGAGACATTTTAATTAATATTTACTGAAGTTTGAATTTGGGCCCAAAATTATAAGTAGTTTCTTGTTTGATTTTTCAGAACTTACAATCCAAATTGTTTATAGGCTCAGCATGTTGGAGACATCATTACAGTTCCCAGTACTCAGGGTGCCAGAGGCAGAATGATTTTGAGTTTGAGGCTAGCTGGGGTGATCTAGTGAGACTTGAAAAAAATAGATTTTTATTTTATGTGTATGGGCATTTTGCCTGTATGTATGTCAGTATATCACGTGCCCCCGGTACCCGTAGCAATCAGAAGAGGGTATTGGGTTCCCTGGAACTGAGTTACTGGTGCCTGTGAGCTGCCTTGTGGGTGTTGCGAATTCAACTTGGGTCCTCTGTAAGAGCAGCCAGTGCTCTTAACTGCTGAACCATCTCTCCAGCCCTCCTAGATATATTTTGAACATAACTTTGACTCAGTTAGGAAGTGAAAATGTCTTTGAGGTAAAGTTGAGAGGCCAAGCATGATGGAGCATGGTGTCAGGAGGCTGTGGCAGCAGGATCTCAGATTGCAGGTCAGGCGGGACCGTTCAGTAAGACACTCTTTAAACAAAAGAAACAACATCTAACAATGTTCAAATTATGGCCTATTTATTATCCATTTTATGCGTATGGATGTGTTTCCTGCATGTATATCTGTGTACCATGTGCATGCATGGTGCCCATGGAGGCCAAAAAAAATGTGTCCCCTGCAATTGGAGTTACAGACAGTTTTTAGCAACTGCATTGGTGCTGGG